GTGACACGGCGGCCATGGAGCGGCGCGGGGGCCGGCCGCAGGTGAGCGGGGCCGGGGCAGCGCGGGGCAGCGCGCCCGCCACCGCACAGCGCCAGGTGTTCCGCACCGAGGGGGACAAGTGACGCCCTTGCTGAAATCTCCGCCCTTTGGAACTTGAGTTAATTTCACAGGAAGTTTGTTCTGTTGTTTTCTTGAACTATTTTTTTTTTCCTATTTAGGACTCTGGAGATAGTGTTTCTGAGCTACGGGAATGGAGACCAGCCATTTACAGAAAGTGTACGGACACTCTCTGGCTGCTCCTCTTCTGTCTTTTCTGGGCTGGTTTGGTAAGCACGCACAGTTTGTTTGTTTGCTTCCTGGAAGGATAAATCAGATCCGAAGTTAATGGGGGTTCTGCACTGTGTTACACTAAATCTGAACTGAAATTGTCACGGGCACAGGTCCCCAGGTTTGCCCAGGGATAGAGCTTACCTCTGTGGTGGTGCAGTGCTTTATTGTGGTGTCAGTCACACTTCTGAGTTCTGCCCATATGCTTTAGATACCATGTATACACAGGGCTCGGTTATTTAGTATTCACCTTTTTTGTAGGTCAGTCCAGGCTCTGACTGGGCTCTTTATTCTACTTATTTGTTCTATCATTGCTATCTTGCAACATACGTCCATGTGATGCTACCTTAACTCACTATCTTTGGATAGCATGCACACTTTTGGGAGAAGGCTTTGTCTTTCTGAAGCGTGAATGGGGTTTTTAATGTTATGTCTCAGTCTACTCAGGATTCTCATAAATACACTTTTTAATTCCATGCATAGTAGCTTCTTAAATGGAAGCTGATGCAGAATATTACCTATACATTTTGAATAGTACACAAATAGATGGGGAACTTTGTGAGCAGCATAGGGATTTTTTACCTGCTGTCTAATGCTTACTGCTTTGATCAGTGGAGGGGATGCCACAATTTAAACCTGTCAGATGGTAAGGATTCAGGATTTTTGTTTGGTTTCTCTCACTGCTTTTATTGCTCATTTCCTATGAAATAACTTATTGCATGCTTGTGTTTGTTTTCTTGTGTTTGATCTTATTTTTAAAATATTGAAGAAAATGTAATAACACTAATTTGTTCACATAGTGAAGAAATTGAAATCACATTAATAGCTCTGTGGAAATGGGTATCATGGCCATGTACCCCTGAAGCTATTGCTCTGTTACTTAACAATATTTATTGCTTTTATCCACCATTCTGCACTTAAAGAAAAAATAATCACCTACACAGGTGAGGGCATTTTCCCCTTGAAACAGAATTTTTCTAAAAGCCTGTTTCAGTTGAATTACAGTGACAGCTTATTTCTTGTTTTCCTTCTGAGAATATTTTAATTATTAAAAAAAAAAAACACAAATTGCTCAGTAAACAAAGTGGATCTGGATATATTTTGTTATTGTAACAAATCACATCCACAAGTATCCACTAACATCACGTGTTAGTTTGAACTGAGGAATCTCTACAAAGATTCCCATATTGAGGCAGCATTAACATCATAATTTTAAAAAAACAAATCACATCCACAAGTATCCACTAACATCACGTGTTAGTTTGAACTGAGAATCTCTACAAAGATTTCCATATTGAGGCAGCATTAACATGTCATCATAATTTAAAAAAAAATAATTCTGAACTAGTTAAGACTGCAAAATAAGAGTCTGCTGTAAGCAAAAATGAGATTGCTCTCAGAACCAAAGGAGCACATTCCTACATGTTTGTGTATGAGACGTTTTTGCCCAGATCCACTCTTTAGTCACAAGTACTAAAATAGAAGCACAGAAAAAGGCTCTAAAGCTGAAGCTAGAAGGCAGTTGTGCTGGTCTGTGCAGTCTGTCTTGAGCACAGCCAATATTCAGCTGTACTCATTGGAAGCAGCAGTGGTTAATGTGGGACTGGGAAGCCTTGCTGCAGCCAGCAGCTGGCACACAGCCACAGACTCAGTGATTGCCCTTGGTGTGTGTGTGAAATGTGACTTGTTCCCCATGGGACAGAGGAGAAGCTTGCATCACTGAGTTGTTCAGTAGCTGGAGTGATGGGAAGATAAGCCTTGGGTAAAGCAGCACTCAGGACTTTACCAGTTTCACAGAAGAATGAAATTGCTGCTCCTTGGCACTTGCAAACGTTCTTTCCAAGGATTGTTTTGGCCCTCACAATGTACAGGAGGGCTTAAGCTACATTCCTACACTGGTGTCTATTGGTGTTTTATTTTGGCTGAGGATTGCTGCTACTTGTCCAGCAGAGGTACTTAGCTGCCCCTGGGGTTTACAAGAAGATGATCTACTGGAACTTTGATCTGGCAACAGAATGACTAAAAGGTCAGGGCAGTGTCACCAAAGTGCACAGTGTGGCTTTCTCTACGTTTTTCACATGTGTTAAAAAGTGCTCCTTCATGAAATTTCAGGTAATTTCTATTTTAAATGTATTTTGTGCTTAAAAATACCTCTGATTAAATTCACTAGCAGCTTCAAGGGCCCATCATGGCAGCAGTTCTATTGTCCAAGTGTGTCCTGAAGGTCACCCTGTAACATGAGATGCAGTGAGCACATGAAAAATTACCATTTGAATGATCTTGCCTAGCAACACACATGAACATCACTAGGGACAGTGTTCAGCACCTTAGTAATGCTTTCCTCTTATTTTAATCAGGACTTCTATCCTTCTTCTCCTGTGTTATTCTGCTTAATTTATATACTTTCAACAATAGATGAAGGAAAGCTCCAAGGAAGCAATAGGGCTGAACTTGCCCATGTGACTTGCTCTGACCTTGTGCAGGTCAGTGAATTACAGATTTAACTGTTTGCAACCAGAAGGCAAAAATGCATGACCTAAAAGGAATATCTTGAATAGGAAGAAAAAGCTATGGTAGCATGCTTTCACATTTAAAAAAATATTTTAACAGATGTTTATAAGTGGCTATGCTGTGGTGGCTGGTGCTGCAGAAAGACTTGTGCTTGGATATGACAGCTTTGGGAACATATGTGGTCGGAAGAACACTCCTGTAGAAGGGGCAAATCTTTCTGGATTAGACATGACTAATAAAAAGTAAGTGCATCTGAAAATGTACAGATAAATCAAATGTTTGAGAACTTAGTAAAATACATATCTAGTTGTCAATCATATACATCTGTTTATGTATACACTGTTGTACTGAAAGGCAAAAAAGGTGGGAATAGTGCAGAAGAGTGAGTGAAATTAAAAAGTTAGGATAGAATTTGAAAATATGCTGCATTGTTATGCTTTATGCAGCTTCCTTCTTAAAGAGGATCTTAAATGGGACATCAGCCAAACAGGCAGTCATTCTATGTGGCAAATCTTTCTACTTAGGGATGTTGCACATTGAAGTTCCCAGTCATTCCACTGACTCCTTTGGAAAAAGTTTCACTTGCTTTGTAGCACTTTAAAAAAGAAGGTTCAGAATTTAAACTTATAAAAAGCAAACAAATAAAAAGCTTGGTTTTTGAGAAGAGGATCTTTTTTTCTTTCTAGGTATGTGTTCTTTCTGAATTCATGCAGCCTGGAAATACAAAGCCTCAAAAGCAGTTCACTTTCCTTGTGCGTGGCAAGTTGTCCACAACAGCAACTGGACTCTTTGGAAGATCTACAGAGTTTTGCAAGGAATAATGGTGTGCCACAGGGAATATGAGTACCTCAGTGTATCTGTAGAACAGTTGAGCAGCTTCCAGTTGTTTTTTTTTTTTTATGGCTCTTACACTAGGGAGTCATATCTTACCATTAATTTCCTGAACAGCTCATGGTAACAGAAAATGTCTTGTTTCTGCTTTATTTCAAAACCATAATTTCTAGAAATGTTACAGCTCTGTTATGCAAATTAGAAAGTTGTTCATTAATTCCTGCACAGTGCTGAGATTATGTAGCAGAAAACTGACTGTTGATAATGAACTAGTGAAGTTTGGTGGGGGTGCCAATAGGTGATCATAGTTCATATGTTGTTTGTGACTCTTGTCCAAATAGTTCCTTTAAATATAATTAAAACTATGGTGCAATTATTAATTCCACGAGGACACAAGTGGATTTATCCCTCTAGACATCAGATCCCAATGTTTGATATTCCATTTTGTTGTAGTTTAACCCCTGCTGGCAACTAAGTACCACACAGCCACTCACTTCCCAACAAAACCAGGACTCACCTTGAAATTTTATCTGATTCTGGTGTCCAATATGAACATGCTGTCAGAAGTAGCTGTTGTCTGAAAAAAGCTCCTTTTTATTCATGTCCAACATGTAAATAAAATAATCTGTAGCCTAAGCCTTATTTCATGGGGTATAGATAAACTTCAGACCATATGAATATTAATGGCTATTATTGTTGGTGGTCAGTATCCCATTCTTTTTTTTTTTTTTCTGATTTATTTGGCAGGGATTGCTTTTTAAATTGACAATATTTGTTTTAATTTAATTTTGGGATAGTTTGACATAATTTTGTATCTGCAGAAAGCTGTAAACACCTGTGAGATTATAGAAGTATTTTCAGTCTAACGAAGCATAGTTGCATCAAATTCCAGCTAAAACTGCTTGCATGTCAAGGCAGGGAGAAGTCTTGCATTTTGAATGGCTTGGATGTGCCCAGCCTTTCTTTCCCAGAAGTGATGTCCGATGGAGCAGAGTACCTGGAAATATTTCACCTAGATCCCAGCACAAGTTAGGTTTCTGGACACAGATGTGTTCTATTCTAACTCAGAAGGGCCCAGTTCTATTGTAGCTTCCATCATTTCAGGTTTTTCTCTATTCCTAGTGAGCAAGGATTAATAGCCAGGTATGGCGCTGTGGAGAAAACAGTGTGCCTGCCCTCCAGGAATGTAAATGGTAACTGCAGTTAAGAAGGCAAAAGATTCTGCAGATCTGTTATGCAAATTAGAAAGTTGTTCATTAATTCCTGCACAGTGCTGCAGTTAAGTCGAGAAGGCAAAAGATTCTGCAGGGATTGGTTTAGATTTACTCAACTACCTAATTTGCTATTCACATTCCCACTGGAACATCAGGGATGAAAATGGCCTGCTAAGGGATCAAACCGGAAGTGCAAACAAAACTTAGCTGTTAATGTGTTTTTTCTCTCAATTTTTTACTAATCTTAAATTGCTTTTTTCTCTTTTTTTTCCCTTTTCTTTTTTTTTTTCAGGTTCTTCCCTTTGCATTTACAACCTGAATGTTTCCAGTTACACACTAAATCCAAAGGCAACTCAGCTGTGTCCCACACTGCCAGTTCCACCAAGGTAATAATGACTGAGTACTTTACAACCTCCTTCAGTCCAAACAGATTCCTATGTATTGTTACTTTCTCACATTTTGTATTTGGCTTGCTGCTTCACAGTCAGGATGGTTTTGATTTGTTTGTTTATTTTTATCCATGTATCCTTACAAGTTCTTTTATGTGCCTGTGAACATGCCAGTGTCCTGTCCCACAGAATAAACAAGGACTGCATTCCTTTCATTCCTCTACCCTTTATTCCTCTACCCTTCCATTCCCCTTCCTTTTCCAAATTAGGAAAAAGCAATCCATATGAGGAATAGCTTAGCTCCTGCACAGATTTTGCTTTCTCCCTCAAAGCCAAGGATGTGGTCCTTGGCCTTGCTTCTTTTCTTGAGCCCAGAAATCTCCATCAGAATAATTTTATAGCCAGATGGCTTGAAGAACGAATCTGTGGATGTTGCTGTCTTTGTCAAATCTGGCATTTGTGACTCAAAATTCTTAAACCCATGATTTTAAGTTCTACTGTGTCATGAAAATACAGCAGAGAATTGGAATCTCTGTGTTTGCAGAGCTAATTCATCTGCTCTGAACAGCTGAAAATAGAACAAAGTGAAGAGAGCAGGAGACATATAAAAACATTACATACAGTGGATCAAAGGACAGCGTGTAAATTGATGAAAAAATATGGCATGTTTCACTTGTTTCCTCAACTTTCTAGGCCTTTTTTGGTTTGTCAAGGAACTCAGCAAAGTTATTCATCTTGCACAGTAATATTATAAGGTAGAAGCAAAATTTATTAGTGAAATTTTTAGCTGTTGGTAGCAAAACCTCTCCTTTTCAGGTATGAATTTGCCATTGGCTGTTGTAGGGCAGCACTGCCAAAGTGGGACAATAAATATATGCAAGAAGCTTCACTGGGAGTGCCAAATAATTTTGTATAAATATTTGGTGCCATTAATTGTATCTTGCAAACATTGTTTTGATGTGGCTTTTAGAACGCTTAAATGTCGTAAAAACAATACAAAGTGTTTGTGATCTAGAATTATCTACAACAACACAGGTGACAGCCATGTTAGCATGAACTTCATTTTTACATAAAGACATGGGAGCAAAGTAGGTGAAGCCAGACTAGAATGGGAATAGGATGGGCTGATGGTGAGAGAGAGAGTTGTTAATTTCTGTCCCCAGGCTGATCTTGAATGGATCTGTTCTTCTATAGTGATACAGGCATGACACTATTAGGATTTTATTTTGCAGATTATACATAAAATTATTCTTTATAACAGAATGTTCTCTGCGGAGAATGGCAGGATGGTTCTCTGTGGATTTTAAACTGTTTGTCCAGTAATTAATATTTTTTACCACTTTTGTTTTCAACCTTTCAGTAAATCCTTTCCATTATTTAATCGCTGTGTTCCACAAAATCCTGAATGCTATTCCAAATATGCATCTGTCCTAATAAGTATGGTTAATGAAATGGATGTTTTTCATCGGATTCTGAGTGGAATATTGGCAGGAAGAGATACTGTGATAGGACTGAGTGTCCTTGCACTAGGTAAGGTTATAAGTAAAAAGTGAATAATGATATTCAATTGAAAGGTTAAAATGTTTCTTATAAATCTATATGTTTAATTCAAAAGTGAATATTTTTCATATTTTCTGGGCACAGTTATTTTTTAAGGAAGAGTGATCAGATTTTATCTGGAGGCATTTAATAGACTGGTGAAATGCAGATGTCTATCAGATTCTGTGGTCCATGACATGGTTATATACCTCATTTTGGGGGACTGTAAGAAATTGTTTATGAAAAAGAGTACATCAACATGAATACTTGAACTTAATTCTTACAGAAAATGTTACTAAAAAGCTAGTATTTTCCGTGGTGAAATAGATCAGCTAGAAGTTTCTTATTATTTAAGCTAAATGTAATTTTGTGCTTTAGATGTTAAAAAGGTTGGCAGCTTTTCTAAATGCTGTTGCTATTAAGATTACTGTTTAAAAATAAAAGCCAAAATTTCTACAAGAACTTTAAATTTATATTTAAAATAAAAAGGGTTGTAACACTCAAACTTACGTTATGTGTTTTTCAGCTCTCTCTTTGATACTGGTTTTAGCCTTCAGATTCATTCAGACCCTCTTCATCCATACTCTGATTGCACTGGTTGTATTTGGGTTGTTGTGTAAGTATATTTACTGTTTCACTGTACTGAAGGATTAGCAGCTGGACAAACAGCTATCCTTATTTCCATGGGCATCCTCAGTAACCTTCAGCTTACCACAGTCATTTCCAAGCTGAGGCCTGCTTGCCTTTTGGTGCCAAGGTCTGGCTGTGCTGTTCCAGCTGCTGAGTGTTAGGATGATGGTGATGTTTATTGTTTTTGTAGATGCCTGGAAACATTTCTTTTGGCACATGAATGCAGTTATGAAAATGCTACTGTTTCAAAGGATGCTTAGTGAACTCTTACACTGCCCGCTTTCGGAAGGGAGAACCATAGGAATGCGTCTGGCTGAAGCATGTCATTCCATGAAAGTTAGCTTTGTATCTCCACAATGAAATTACATGCCTGAGCTTTAGGATAACTGCAGGAAATCCAAATGTTCTGCTGTGGTTTTACCTCAGACTGACAGGCCATTATTGGATGTTCCTCTGTGCTCACTGATCCTGTGCATCACTTTGGTGACTGGCAGTATTCCCGAGCCCTGTGGGATGCTGGGGATGGCAGGAGACTGGGAAGGGGGGCTGGGCAGGCATCAGCCTGCCAGCAACCACGTGCCCTGCTTGCCCTCATGCTGCTCTGCTCTGCTCAGTTGGCTCAGGTGTTCTCTGGTGGCTCCATTACGACTACAGGAATGACCCCAGCACTGAACTGGAAACAGAAAAGGAAAATGTAAAGTTCCTACTTGGATATGCCATCTTCTCAACAATTGTCACTGTGAGTAGCATTTTGCCCTGAGCAATGGCAGAGGCTGTAACTTGAAAACTTGAACTACAGTGGTTCTGCAACAATAAAAATTCCTATTCGTTTTTAAATTGGAAAATGAGAATAAATTCTATGGTCTTCTGTGGATTCATCCCATCCTGTCAGCAGGAGAACAAGGTGGCAGCTCTTTGAGACAATGAAAGGGCAGTGAAATGCAGGCAGCAGTGTCCGGACCTCAAGTTATGGGGTTAAATTCTGTTTTTCTCTCACTGACCTTGTTTTACAACAGAAAATCTGAGTGTGGCTTGCAACTTCTGAAGAGAGCTTATTCACTCTGATGTTGCAATGTTAAAAGAAGCTATTTCTCAATTTGAGGGTGCAGTCAATTTGTACTTCATGAGACATTTGTCAAAGCAGTTGTCCTGTTGTCTTAGAGATGAATAAGATCCATATGGAATTTGCCAGATATGAACAGTCTGACAGTTTACAGTGACAAATATAAATGTGTCACAGACCAGATTTTTTTTATATCCTCTACAAGTTATGACCTTTTTACATCTGCTGACACTAAAAAGGTAAGAAAGTTACTTTGAATGCTTGTGTGTTCCAGTACAACTGGCTGTTGTTTGCAGAGCTGTGGGAACACCCGCTGCTGCAGGTTATGCTTCTCTTCAGAACTGGTGGCTCTTTCCAGGGCAGGCAAGAAAACTAGTGAAGGAACTGCCATTGGTTGTATTTATTGTTTTAAAGATTTTAATTGTTGTTCATAGTTCCTTGTCACATACAAAGAATTGGGAATATTGTGGGATTTTTGACTCGGGGTTTTGTTATTGGTGGGTTGGGTTTTTTACTTTGGGAAGACAATAATTTTTTAAAATAAGTTTTCATTTTATGCCTGCTTTGGTCCTATACATACATAGCTCAGGAACTAGTTTGGTTGTGGACTGCAGGAAAGGACTGGTTCTCCTACCACTGTGAAAGTGAACAGTGGCAAGTTGACCTGAGTAGAAGGAAAGTTTAAAAGCTCATGACCTGCAGGGTATGTGAAAGCAATGAGTAGTGTGTAATGTACATTTATGTTTGCTATAAAGCAAAACAGTTTCCATTAGATGAATTGAAGTCTTATGAATCCTATTTTGTTCAAAAAAACCAGCAACAACTGTTGTAGGAAAATAGATTTTAATCCGCAGGCTCTTTGAGAACATAGGCAGTGTCTTGGAAGGATTTTCTAATGTGTAGCAAGATTGTATAAATTGCTTTATTGTCATGTCTTTGTGAAATCTGTATCCTCTGATCCCACATTTGACAACTCTGATAATTTTCTTGAGGTAAAACCCCTAACAATTTGTCTTTTTGTTTCCTGAAACAGGTTGTTCTGCTGTCCCTTATATTTGTACTAAGAAAGAGGCTTCCGTTCTCTGTACAGCTCTTTCGAATTGTTGGCAAAATCATTGGCAGAATTCCTTTCCTCCTGTTCCAACCACTCTGGACTTTTCTGATTCTCATTGTGTTCTGGGTATTTTGGGTTGCTGTACTGCTTAGCTTAGGAACTGCAGGTAAGCATATGCTTTTCGTGTTTTTGACTGAGTGTTTTTGACTGACCGTTTCCTAAATTCTCTTCTTAAATGTGGGACCTCTTGGTGTTGGTGTACAAAATGTGGGCTAGCATTGTTACACAGCTGAGCTACTTGTTTTTATTTTATTTTATTTTGTTTTCCACTTGTTGGAGTCTTTTACATTGGCCTTTTGTTTCCATATGTGGACTTGAGTTGTGTTCTTTCTCATTGATTTGTTAATAGATGGTTGTAGGTACAAAATATGTTTAGTGTACTTAAATGAAGAAAGTAACGGGAAGGGGAGACAGCTTTTAGTGTAAAAGTTACAAAATGAGGATGTTCATCTCCTCTGTCCATAAGCAATGTTGAATTGTCACAGAGGCAGAACATTGCTTTGGGGCAGTAGTTCAGTGACAATTGCTATCATTTGGACTAGTGCAACAGTACTTGGATTAATCCAGTGGCTCTTGCAGTTGCAGAGGAGGTGGTCTGTGGAAAGAGTCAAGCACTATGAAAGATATGGCAGAACAGGTTTTTAGTATGCAAATGGTGTTACTGAGGGATATATCATTGTAAGATCTGCCACTGATTGAACCAGGGTAATTTGGATGCTGTTCATTGGCCCAGCACTGTGCCATCCAAGTGAAAGAGAGCTTGTCCCTCTGTGGAACATCACTCAAAGAAGTGAAGCTAAACTGTGTGTATCTCTGGGAGTAGCTCCTCATGTACACATCAGCCCCTGTCCATATAGAGCATTAGGATTTGGGGGTTGGTATTTTTTCATTTTAAATTTCTGGGGCCACTGTTAGGAGCCAATTGCTATTCTTTGGGTCAAAGTTGATGTAGAATCAATGTGGACAGAGACCATTGTTCATGGGTTTTCTCTTTTCACAAACTTGCCAGTGATTTCTGTGTGGAAAACCAAATGCAGTCTACTTCTTTGAATGCTTGGGTGTTACTGTTTACTTTGTGTTGCCACCACTGCTTGAGACAGTAGCTGCAGTAACTCCTTAGGCAGACTTACAGGTCCCTGCCAGGCCAGGAAAGCCTCCAGCCTTGCCATAGCTGAGCCCATTTGGCAAAGCTGGCTGTATTCCCTATCTCTGTGGATCAGGTACCTCACTCTTCCATCACAACTGCTTCCATCTCAGTTCATTCTGGCTCTTTGCAAGACCCACTTCATTCCTAACATGAGAAGCTGTCTGAGTCCATGCTGGCATTGCAAATCACACCCATCGCTCAGGCCAGCCTGGGATCTGTTTCCCTCCAGCTTTCATTGGAGAGTTGTGCAGACTTGCCAGTCCCCGTTTCTGCTGCCTGGAGTAGCTCATGTCTGTCAGGAATGGCTGCTTGAAGCAGCTGCTGACCTGCTTCTCCTGCAAAAGGGTCAGATCTGGCATGGCCAAATGTCTGAGCTGCAGTCTCTTTGTGAATTGTTCCTCCTCACTACATAGTCAAGCTGATGCCCTTTGCTTTAGATGTCATGAATATTCCTTCTCCACACTGCTTTGAGTTAGACTTTCCAATATAGAAGCAGCATTGTGTGCTGGACACAGTTCTGTGTTGCTCATTTTTCTGCAAAATCTTTATGCCATTTGTGTGCGGACCAGACAGGCAGCAGTGATTTTGAAACTGGCTTTGTGGGATACCTTGTCCCTGCTTCAGACCAGGCTTTATAGAAAGGAGCATCTCCTGAGCTATCAACCAACTGTTCATTTAAGATAAATATTAGCTGTACTAAATTTAATATTAGGACAATAGAATTAATTATAACACATAGATTTTCTAAATATATAATTACCAAGAACTATGAGAGCAAATATTACATCCTTGATGTTAAATCAAGCTGACTTGATCTTAATATGCACACATAAGGGTGTAAACCTTGCCCTTATTATATCTATATTTAGAAAATGCCAGCTGAGTCTGTTATATTCAAAAGCTTTTGGAAATGCAGCAGTCATTATAAAAGTAGAAATATTTTAGCTCATGTGACAGAAAAAAACTTGATTATAAGAGCAGGATGGGAAACCATTTGGTATTTTCTGGATGCCTTTACAGACTTTGCAGGAAAATAGTCATTTGCACATTATATCCAAAAGCAAATTCCACTGTATTCACAGGGGAGTAAAACCCAATGAAAACTACTTTTGAGAGGCTTTTTATGCTTTTTCCATGTTGTGCCATTTTTCTTCATTGGTTATATTCTGTTTCCTGCTAGGCATTTTCATTCAACTCTTTTTCTTTTTCCTCTGCCTTGTTGGACAGTAGGATTCAAACAGTTTGTGACCTGCTGTTACATTCATAGTGCAGCACACAACTCCTGACTCAAAGGTATTTTATGTTTTGTCTTCTCTGTAGCTTAATAGGAGTGCTGATATTTCCAGCAAATGATGCAAACAGTACAGAGAGCAGCATAACCTTAGCGCACAGCAGCATGATGATAAAGTTTGTTTTGAAAGAATTGAATTTTCTCAGATTTAGCATAAGAAGGGAAGGTCAATATATTGCCTTTATGAGCAACCTAGTAAAACATAGGTTTTGATGGAGCTATTCTGGCGGGGTATTTTTAGTGCAGATGTCAGTCCTTACAAGATCTTCCTGTTAGAAGCACGTTAATGTTTAGAAGAGCACGTGTGCATTTTATAAACCACCCAAACCACGTCTCAGTTAAAACCCGGGCCCGAATGCGGATGCCAGGGGGCCGCTGTGTGCCGGGCTGGTCCGGGCGGGCTGGGCGCCGTGTCCCGGCCGTGTCCCGGCCGTGTCCATGGAAGCAGCTCGGGAGCCGCCGGGCGCCCGCTGTGCCCGCGGCAGCGCCCGCCGAGCCTGCCCGCGGGATGAGCGCACGGGCAGCTCCGTGTCAGCAGGATTGCTGTTTGGACTTCCAGTCCCTTACTCTGCCTCAGATTTGTTTTGTAATTCAAATCCTGGAAGACGAGCACTAAACGAGATTTGGTGTTGAGAATATTCCATTAGGTGGTCGCTCGAATTTTCAGCCCAAATATGAGTCCTCTGAAACGCTGTCTGTTAAAGCAGTCACCTTCAGATAAGCTGGGGGTCATTCTGCTGTTCTAGGATGACATGCCCACACATCCTGTGATGACAAGTGCATACAGTACCATACCGTTAATACTGCACTGACAGGACACCTTTGTATTATTTATTTGTTTTCTACAATTGTCCTGGAAGTGGAAGACATTTATTTTTGTTTTGAGTTTTGGGGACTTTTTGCACCTCTTGAGAGTACTTCTCTGAGGATCTCCAAAAAGAAGCTTTCTCTTACAGAGCAATTTGTTTTCTTATTGACAAATAGTTGCCTGTCTAGGATTCAGCTGTAAAATACAGGTGGTGATTTTCTTGGGTTTGACACTTTGACGTTTTCTCGCAAATATATAATATATGTTCTGGGGCTGTGCAGGCTGTATTTTAAATGCAAATATACCAAGAAAGCTGAAAAAATGAGATGTTCATGAAGACACTAGTCTTTTGTTTAATACAGAGAGATGGGTAAATAAAATTGGCTTGCTGCTGTGCTGCACCTGTTCTTAACATTTGCTTTGAATCTGCACTAGTTATATAATATTTATGGTGTCTCTGCATCTTAACAGTTATGGAGCACTTGATCCTTGCTTCAGCTGTGGCACACCTGATCATTATGCGACCATGCAGGCACCTTATTTACATCTCCTCCAAAAGTTAGCATTACTGTGAGAAAAAAATCCTAACTTCCTGGGAGCCGTAGAAAGCTATAGCCTGCACTTGAAAGGTACTTATGCATGTGACTAATTTGAAACACATGGATAATCCTATTAAAATCAGTGGCACTACTTATGCATTTTAGGGTAGGCACCTGCCTAAGTACCTTGGTAATTCAGAATCTGTAAGAGCAGCAGAGACTGAGTGAATTCCAGACCTAGAAAACTAGGAGAAATGCCAAGACTTCATGAGACTTTAGGTAGCACAAGCAGTGGCACCAGTTAGAACCATTAGCTGGCTAGGAATGGAATTCAGCTGTTCTTTGGAAAAGCTGATATGTCTTAGGGTTACTGAGTTTTATTGTTTGCTAATTTGTGGGTATTTCACTGCAGAACTGAAGTGGCCACGTGGCACAGCAGAGAATGTGTTTCGACTTTTCAGAGTGCAGGAGCTGTGAGGTCCACATGGTATAAATACTGTGAATGTAGGATGAGAAGGTGGTGTGGGGTTTTTTTGGGTTTTTTTTTTGTGCAATTAAGGTGCATCCTACAGGCAAGTGAGCAGCAGAACTGCGATATAAAGCTGTGCAACACTAAAATGAGCAGTAAAAATGTATTTCCTGCAGAGGCCTTGACATTCCAATTACAGTCAAGTAGCTTACCTGTAAATACCTTTACATGCAAAAGCACAAAATGAGATAACACAATAGATTGTGTTGCAGGAAGCACTAAGATTCAGTGTATGATTCCAGAACCTTTCCCCACAGTGGGAGGAACATATTTTCATGTTAACAGGAACTGATAAACAGGCTCTCAGTATTTTCTTGTCAGTGGCTCTTTGTTTGTGATAAGGAAATTGCTGGACTAAACTTCCCAGGAATTTTTGTCTCTTACAACAGCCTGTTGCTGCAGGCATCAGCAAAGCCTCAGAGCAGCAGCTGCTGGGTAAGGACATCTGACCTGAGTCTGGCAGTCCCAAAAGGGAGCTGAAGGTACGGCACACAGCCACCACTGACTGGTGTCCCATCGCCTGCCGTGCTGGCTGCCAGGGCAGCGCTGGGCTCGAGTCCCACGGGGGAATTCTCCCGGGTTCTGCTGCAAACACTTGGCCTGTTTGCATTGTTAACATCACTTCTTTTGAAGTATTGGCAGCAGATCAACACTTGTACTGATCAAAGGCTTCCAGATTTGGTGATTCAGATGTGGGGACTTCAGTTCTTTACTGAGTTGTTAATGCCATCGTTAAGAGTGTATGGTACACTGGGAACATTCATTATTGTGTTGCTGAAGAAAAATAATCTGTTGACAAATTAAACTCTATTTCAGGGCTTTGTTGAAAAAGTTTAGAGATAGATCTTAGTACAATGATGAGGGAAATTGCATATACTTCTCTTGACAGGTTATCTAGGACAGCTTTAAAGTTTGTCTGAGATACTGATACAGAAAAATAGCCTTGCATGTAGTTTATTGACAAAATCAGGCATGTCTGGTAGGCCCAGAAGACAGGAAATTGGACAGAGATGTTTATATCATTAAACAGATTTTTGTGAAATAACAAAACTAGTTTACCACACCTGACCAACAAAGTGATGGAAGGTGAAGTCACAGGTGCCTCTGCCTGATTGCTGTGCAGCTGAGCACAGCACTGTGCACAAGTACAAGTACGAGGTTGTCCAGGAAAGACAGAGTCATTACTGTTATTACTACAGGTGGTTATTTCAGTAGGCTGGGAAAAAGCAAACAGGATTAGCTTGCCATATGAACATTTATCAGTCTTCATGACAACACTACTGATACAAAGCCTGAACAGGTCTATTTTGGAAAAAGAAATGTTCAGGTGGATTGTATGGTGGAAAATGTCCTTAATTCTGCTACCAAATGGTGTAATGTCTTTGCATGAAAATGGAGAGGTAGGACACCTTGTGTCTCACTGACATCTTGCTTGCCTAAGTTCCCTCAGTGAAGGCTATGGGCTGTGGATAATGAATGCATTTGGCTACTTGTGTGTGCTGCAGGAAAAGGCAGTCTAGAGCCTCTGGAAGAAATATAGGAAATGAAAAATCTCTTGAATTCATAATTATATGGTGCCTCACTTATTGTAATGACTTAAGTAAATGATTATATCCTCAAGAACTTACCTTAAAAACCCTCACCTTTGCAAACTTAAAGCCAGTGAGGCACAGGATGGGGAGGAATGAGGGAGACTTTATGAGAAGAGATCTGAGTAGTAGCTTTTTCAAACCATCAAACATCTTGCACTTCACAGTGCAAAATTCATTTGAATATATTGGAAGCACTACAGTATTTCTATGAATGACCAACCATACAGCACTGGAGAGAGCTTGCCTGTTCAGACAATATTGTTAACATCTCAGAAAAGAAAATATCTAGAACCTATGTCTGTATTTATGTACCCATGTAGCATTTTTTTTTATCTTTCAAAGAACTTTAAAATAATGTTGCAGTGCTACTATGGAATAGATGGATTTTTTTCTTAATTTACAGACCAAAAGGCCTTGCTTCTGAAAACTTAAAAAGGGTACACAAAAAGCTTGTCTAAACCTGATGGTATTGCTGAAACAATTCTGTACTGTTTCTGCTTTTAGTTATTCTTGAGTAAGAAGTCTGTGGCTATAGAAAAACAGGCCAGAAAGGAACTATTTCCTAGATAGCTTTGTATATGTGGTGGTTTTTAACTTGAATGTGGTGTGTTGTCCTGTAGGAGAACACAGAGTCATATAATCATTTAACTTGGAAAAAACCTTTAAGATCATCAAGTCCAGCTGTAAACCTAACACTGCCAAGTCCACCAAATGAATACATGAAGTATTAAATCTTAAGTTATATTGCTGTTTGAGCAGTAATAGCCAATTCTGTCTCACTTTGTTATTTCTTTCATGGAGTTGGAATAAGAAACTACTCACCTCCAGAGATTGTTTTTTTTGGTGAACATGTTTCTCTTTAAGGTTAGTAGACTTAAGGCTTGGTAAAATTAAAAAAAATTAAAAACCAAAACATGTTGGGAACCTAGAGACCTTGTACTAGGACCAAATTGTCCTAATGCCATTATCCCCTGACTGCCCTTCAGAGTCAAGTGCCACAAATAGGATTGCACAGAAAAAAGGTCTGATTGTTGAGGAATCAGAGTTGCCCCCACCTTTTGTGAATAGCCACCAATGAATACGGAATACGGAATACATTCTTTGTTGGTAACAGAGGTGGAAGGAATGTTTTTAGCTTGGATAAGTTAATTTATCCACGCTCCTAGACACAGTAGTAGCATTGGAGCATGTACTACCATACTGACGTCTGCTTCCCCCCCACACCCCAAAGAGCCTACATTTTGCACAAAGATTGCCTGTATTTTGCACAAAGATTGCAAAGTATAGAGAACAGAAAACTAATGGCCATGGTTCTGATTAGTAATAGCAATTAAAATTTTTGTTTTGTTTTGCTGCAACAGTATGTTATGTATCCTTAATATTTTTCTGCAGTCTTTCTCTTCTGCTTCTTACAAAAAAACCCTAAAGCATTTCATAACTATGCATTTATTTAAAATTTGACTTATGAAAATCAAGATTTCATTTACTTCTGAACTATTTGATTACTCAAGTCTAGAGTAATGTCTTCTCAGATATCTTTACTAATATGTAGCTTTCCTTTTTCCTTTACTGGTAGTTGTGTCTCCATCCCAATTTAAACACAATCTTTTGCATTTTGTGAGATTTTATTTTTCAAAATCCACGTTGAATTATAAAATATTGTTTCACTTTGTTAGAATGGACAGAATTAAATAACATAGAATTTTTTTTTTTTTTAACTTTACTGAAAAGAAGTTAAGAGAACATGCACAGAAGCACTTCCATGTCCTTCTTTGTCCCTGTCCCCCTTTCTCCTTCCCCCTCCTTGTCTGGCATGCTATAATAACACAGTGGTGTAATCCCAACTTCAGGTACTGCACAGTCCACTTCGGGAGGACAAGTAGAATACAGAGCTCTGTCTGGAATTTGCTACATGGCATGGTATCATTTCCTTGGCCTTATCTGGACTAGTGAATTCATTCTTGCCTGTCAGCAAATGGTGATTGCTGGGGCAGTGGTTACTTGTTATTTCAACAGGTGAGTGCAGAATTGCCCCTGATAGTTTTGGGGATTTTCCAGCATTTACTTTCAATCTTTTTCTGGGAAAAATAGTCCCAATTAGACTGCAATTTATGTCAATATCAGGAATCCAGTTTACTATAATGTTGCTTACTGCAAGATCTTTAATATCATGCAAATTGTAACATCTTACTCATGTGACTCGCCCCTGCTGCTGGAGGTGCTGGGCCAAACTGGGCCTTGATGTTGGAACTCTGTTGGCTCTGGGGGAATTACCATTTGGAAGGCACAGGCTGCATTGCACCCATTTCCATGAGACTGTGTTAGCTCCAAATGAGAAGCAATATATTGTTCCTTGGTAATTTCATGTATTAAGAGGTAGTTTTACCTCTTTGTAAATGTTCATCCATGCTCTGGGGTTTCCATTTGTTCTGCCTGTATAACTGTTGGTCTAATTTTTTTTTTTTTTTTTACTCTGTGCAGATATTTTCAGCTAACTACAAATGCTTTAACACTGTAAAGTGTTTAGACATGTGTGAACAAACTTCCTTGTCTGTTATATACCCTGTAAATGTGGAGGAAAAAAGGAAAAGTAAAATTAAATAAAACTGAGTTTATGCACGCATTGCAAGAGAAGATTTAAATCTCACCTTATGTTGTTGAGTTTTTGACAATGAAGAGAGCATTTTCCTGATAATTTTTTTTCTCCTGAGTATTTTATGAGCTCTCTCATCCTCAGTGCTGTTCTTCTAGGTCCAGCAATGAGATTTTCTGATCTGTGCAAAACTCTGGCATTTTAAGTCATTTCTTCAGTTTGTATTAGAGGAATATAATGATAACCTCAATTTGTTGAAAAATTAACCCTTGAGGAAGAAGGTGATGTGAGATTGAGGTGGTGAGCCTGGCCCGAGAGAACCTGGGGCCCTTGGAGTGGAGGTTCTGCTGCCTAGGGCCGTATGGCTGGGACAGTTGGGGAGGATGCCTTTGGCCTTCTCCAAAAATTAGGAAGCGGGGTTCTGTGGATGGTCTCCAGAATGTATCCTTGGGTGTTTCAGTCACTGATCAAGAGGCTGCTGGAAGTTCTCCAAATGGTGTGTTCCCCAGTGCCCAGCAGACAGTGCAGTCTCTGCTTGCAGGACTGGCTCTGTAGGGTTTTCCTGCAGCACCCAATGGAGTTGTGCTGTTCCAGCCAAAGATCTAGGAACAGCAAGTTTCCACCCCTGGTTTAAGCAATCTTTTATCATCCCATCCAAAAAGCCAAGGCAGGACAAGGTTTAACATGTGTATCAGGAGCCTGTCCCTGTGAGGATTAACAACACAACAGCTGTGCCACTGAACTGGTGCTTCGGTAAGAGCAAATAAAACCTAAAATGTTGCTTTTCTAAGGGTTGAAAGATTTTTGAAAGAGTGACATAGTCTCACCCTTCTATTTTACATGCTGTAACAGGACCTGGAAAGGGAGGAACTCTCATTTCTGATGTCATCACTTTTTTTCCACTGAAGCTCTGGAGCTCCCATGGCTGTGGGTAGTGAGCTGCTTTCTCTTGTAAGCCCATTGATGTACCTCAGTTTTAGCAGCTGAATGCTGAGGCACTAAAGGTTCGTTTAAACTGGTTTGAGAAAGCACAGGAAAGTAAAGTAGTTCTGCTGTGTTCCTGAAAAGTAAAGTAGTTCTCTTGAATTTTTGGGCTGTGTGCTACAATGCATTTTGGCGCAATACACCACATAAATCCCCAAGGCAAAGGCACTGTCCATATCTCGTTCATGCAGAGCAGGGAAGCACCTGTAGAAACTGCTGTGATGACATTTACTGCTCTGCTAGGGGCTTCCGCTTTCCAGCTATTTTTTACTGCTGCAGGAACTGGCTGCCAAGTACAGAAGGTTCCTGCTCCCAGTTGTATTGGTATCATTTTGTACAATACCATTAAACTCTCCTCTTGCTTGCCAGGTGACCTGTACTATGTTGAGAGGGTTGTATTTGCAAGGGGAAATGCAACTGTTCTGTGGTGGTAATCCCTTGTCCTGGCCTTCAGGCTGTCAGCACAGATGCACAGAGATGCAGAGCAGTGCAGGAGAGGGTGGTTAGCTGCAGCAGCAGCCACACAGCAAGGGCAAGGGTTATCTCGAGCTGTTCCAGCAACTCTGAGCTCGTCTGCTGTGTGTTTTTAATGTATTCCCCGGGGCTGCATCATAAAGGCATGTCACAAGAGTTTGTTTATGGGATCTTACAGACAGGCTTGCTTCTTGTCCTGTGAGTGCTCCGAGGAAATGGCACGGCCTTCCCATGTGGAAATCTCCTTCCACAGCACACTCAGCAATGTGCTGCACAGCCAACAGCCATGGCTGAGTTGCACATGGGGTGGGCAGGGGGTTGTTCTACCTGGATTAGCTTTACAGGATACATATATTTGGCCTGTAATACCACGATTGACTGAAAATGGATTTGGCCTTCTTTTATTTTAGATTAAATATGAATACACAAAAGATTTCATTAATTTAATAAAAATAAGTAGGTTTTCTTGCTTAATAATTACATTTTACAACTTGTGAAAAGGGCTTAGTCTTTTTAAAAGCTTTCTTTGTTATAATTGTTGTTTTACATGAGGGTTTATTCTCACCTTGATGTGCTTAGGTGTTATGTATCTATTTACCTTTGCAGGGAGATGAGCCTTTCCCCCTCTCTGGGAGTAAAGGAAGGTGTTATGGTAACTCAGTCCATCACAGGCATCATGGTTCTGTCCATGTCTGAGCTTCTTTAGTAGCTCCAGTGCACAGATATCACTGCACAGATTTGAAATTAAGGATTGGGGTTATCTACCTGACTAAGGTGTTCAGTACCACAGTTTACAAGAGAAGTGAAATACATATCTCTCCCAGTAAATCAAAAATGAAGGTTTATGGATATTGCACCAAAGTAATTGAGAGATAAACTAGAACAAACTTGTAAAGGCTTCCTCTTCAAATATATCTGCAATATTTATGGACATCCTTTGCCCTACTTATGTACTTGACCTAAAAGAGCCACCAGTATGTATGTAGTCAGACCTGTTCCATGTGGCTTTGAGGTTAGGTAAAAGTGCAATACAGTCTGTGTGGTCTCTGTTAGTCTCATAATGTCTGTTTTATTACAAATCTTGTAATTTATTGTGTTTGTTTAAAAATTGAGATTCATATTTACTTGAGGAATAGAAGAATCATTCCTCAACATTTCTGAAGTATTTTATACTAAAGTTAGTTTTAGACAGTCTTTGGAATTGGTAAGACGTAAGTGAAGAAAACTGTAAGGATAGCTCTTAAGAGAATTTTAAAGAAAGGAAAAAATACACTTTTCTCCCATTCAAATATCTGTGTCTTTTGGGTATGTCAAGATGACATTTTTTTCTTCTCACAAAAATGTTTTTCAAATAAAATTGAAGATGCACGTGTGATCATTTGATTCAAGGAACTTAGTGTTAAAAAAAAAGTGTCAGATACAGAGCTTACAAGTAAATGAAGGCAATCGACAGTAGTAAAGAAATAAAATCATTAAAAGATAATGTGGTATTGAATACAGGTCCACAGGAGTTTGGAATAGTAGTGTTGTATGTAAATCAATCTGATGATAACATAAAACAGAAATACCAAAGAGCTATGGCTCTATTCAGTCTTATAACCATCAGGCAGATTCCCAAATTTCCCTGACACCTTGTGCACATGCAGTGGAGTTCACATGCACAGAATGCACTGCATAATGATTGCATGCTTGTGCTAAAGCCACTTCAGGATTGCAGCCACATAATGCACAAAGGTGGGTGAAACTTCAGCCTTGGGAGCAATGGGAGTAGGTTTGAGCCAATCTTGAGCTTATTTACAGTCATAACCATCACCTGTTGCTGTGTTTAGCCTCTTTCCTGTTTCCTACTCTGAATCAGAATTACAAGGAAAATCTGTTCTTCTTCTAATCTGTTTGGAGGCAAAGCAAAATCCTTGTCAGACCCTGTTTTTGTGCTAATTTCTTTGTTAAGAAAAGGAGCTGTGGAAAAGCATCCAAATATGTAAAAAATTATCTAAACTAAGCTTTACATTTTAATTATTTTTTTCTTACATTGCTGCTCATTATTTAGTCATGTTAAAAATATCAAAGCACTTCTTCATTTTCTCTTCAGTAACAAGTACGTTATTAACACAGGAATAAATTTTCTTCTTTCTGTGTTTCTTATCACTAGTTAACCTTTAACTTGCAGAAACTTAATAATTTGTATTCTGAGATCAAACTGACACTGTCATATGTAAGGAAGTGTTTTGGGGAGAAAAAAACCAATGGCTCAATATGAATAGAATAATTCATCCACCTACAATGCATGTGTTTCTAACACAGAAACCTGATGACTAAAGAAAACCCAAAATGCCTTATTCAGTATAAAATTCCACTATTCCCCAAGCTGTTCCCCTGGTTTTAAGACAAAAATAATAAATGTAGCAAATGCTTTGCTGGAATTTCCTATTTCAAATAATGTGGTATATTCACATATTTAAATACAACTTCTCCACTGCAAAGTTTTTTGTGTTTTGAATGAACTGCAGTGATACCTTCAAGATTTTTGCAGAACTATAATCCCACTCCTGAATATAGTGTGTATTATTTAAATCCTTGCTGAAGTGAGGATTTAATAAAATAATATTTTTAAAGCTTCTTAGCCCAAACCAGTCATTCTCTTATTGGTGTATTTTTATTTTTTAATTTCTTGTGCAAACTACTGATTTTTCAAGATAACAGAGGTTTTGAAGAAATCAATTCTGAAAACAGAATATTTGTGAAATTTCTTATTTGTGATATTATGTCTGATCTTTATGTAGCTACTTAGTCAAACTGCTGCTGGTTCTGTTGCCTAACTAAATATTTCAGGGTTGGGCCAGTTGCTTAAGAGTTACTTTATGGAAGGTGTAATTATAACTATTGATCCATATGTTTTTTGGTTTTTTTTTTTTTACCTTATGAAACATTGTTAAATGTACTTAGTGTTAATCTAGTTGATTTTTTTCAGCATTTGACAAGGGGTGAGGGAATCTCTTTAAGTTGATTTCCTGAGGTTTATATAAATTCTTGAGAACTGTGTCATATTACTGTCTGTAAATTACTGACATTAAACTGACCTTTATAAAGGAAGCAAAGTAATAAAACTTGTATTTAGGCCATTTTTTTGTCTTTACTTTCAATTTTGGCAGACATTATTTTTCCAAAACAATACAGGTTAGTATGCACTAGAACTACAAGTTTTTTTAGTTCAGATTATATTCCTAAAGTATAGTATGATATTGCTTTTTTGCTGTATTCAATTTTAAAAGAAAGCCTGTTCTGTGGGAGGAAAAAAAGCATTAATAATCTTTTTTAATTTAAAACCAAATTTGGCCAAATTGCAATTATAAAAGGAGATAGTAGCTCTCAATTTTATATGTGAGAACTTGTGATTTTGTTTTCTAGTTTTAATTTTACCACTAAAGAAGAAATAATGGATTAATTCCCTCAGAATAAAATCTTGCAGAACCAAGAGTTAAATAAAAGATTGCAGAGAATAAGAGAAGTGACAGAAATTGGAAAGAGGTGTTCAAGAAATATTCTCAGATATTGTTCACTTACTTCTCCTATTTTCCATTGTAGTTTTTTCCTAGATATTTTTCCATTCCAGAAAAGAGTAATTTCTTAAGAATTAAACTAATCCAGAAGTTATAAATTTGGCCGCTTTTCTTTGGCCTAAGGTGAACATTTAAATGAAGTCAGTAGAAAAACTGGAGTAGTTCAATTAGGAAAGGAGATAGCAGCTTAATTCTTAAAATTCCCAAATACTGAAAAGACACAATGCTTATCTTCTTAAAGTTGCTAAACATTTTTAAAAATTGTTTGTTTCTCTTTCTAGAAATAAAAATAACCCACCACCTCACCCAGTCCTGTCTTCCATATCAGTTCTTTTCTGCTACCACCTAGGAACTGCTGTGAAAGGCTCATTTCTAATCACAATACTGAGAATACCAAAGATTGTTCTCTTGTACCTTTACAATATCCTAAACCAAAAGGTAGGTAAATACTTCTGTAACACTATTAAAATAGTAGTTTAAAGATGAGATCATGGGGCAAAGAAGTAAAGAATATATTTCTTGCTTAAAAATAGATGGTATTGCTATTACTGTCTATTATTAATAGGTGGATTTTATATTTTATCATGTTTTCTTCATTAGGAAAGCTTTTTTCTCCCAACTCAAATATCAATGCTTCCTTTTTATTCTCAAGTCTCATAATTTTAAAAGCAGAAAATACCAATATGAAACTCACCTTTATTTAGTATTTTTATACAAAGGTTTTTCTGAAGGATAAAGAAAAAAATTGGCAGACTCCTCTACTAAAATTTTTTGCATTCTTTTTTTTTTAAGAAGCAGGAGTAAGAATACTATTGTTGGATTTAAAATCTGTTATAGAAAGTACTTAATCTGCCTTGTAATATGCTTCTCTAGAAAGAATATATGGAATAAGAACTGTTCCTGGGAGTTGTAGTATCCAAGATACATCTTTTAAGACACATAAAGCATAGATCTGGGCTGTTTTGAATATTTTTTTGCCTTCTTTTTTCCTTTCATGCATCTCCACATCTATTATCTTCTGCTGGAAGCACACCACTATAGGTAATTCTGACACTTTTGCAAGGAGGAAGGACTGTCAGGAATGCACAGTTCTGATTTTAGGAGAAGATTTAAGAAAAGGTTTTAAACGTAGGTCTTTTCCTTTAGGGTTTACATTGGCCTTGAAGCATGTGATGTATAGTTATGTCAGGGTGTTTACATTTACATTGACAATGTATTTACTATGAGGCCTGTGTTGGCTATAGGTTATGAATGCTTAAATAAAAACTCCTTGTAATAAAACACTTGAAAGGTGTGGGCTGGATTTATGTTGCTTTCATATGAAAGTTTTGGTTATAAAACTTGGTGAGTTGTGTTAACTAAGAACATTGTATAAAGACAGTAGGTGGGATGACTTAGAATATTTTCTGCCTTTAGAGAAAGCAGGTTAAGTGGACTTGCTTGTTACATGGTCTGTAATCTGAATTACTGTAGATTTAAATAGCAAAGAGAGATTATTTGTGTCTGCAGCACTGGGCTGCAGGCTCCTTTTGGTCCAGCTCCCAAGCATTCAGTGACATGACCCACAGCTGTAACTGCTGCTAAGGAGCCTAGAAAGTGCTCTGGGCAGCTCTTGTGCTCAGTCCTGGGAAGGATCCCCCCACGAGTAACCTTGCTCCTTTGGCAGAAAGGACAACTATGGCCCCTTTCACTGAGGGCCAGAGTAGTTGGACTGAAGGATGGAGAAGTGACCCTGCATTCTTGTAGAGCTCACACAGACTTCCCCACCCTTGCAAAAAATGTTGCTGCTCTCTATGAACAGAGAAGAAGTCAGGGACCTGCAAGCTTGCAGGTAAATTTACAGATTTTTCTACACAGCAGTCTTCAAGCAGAATCAGAGAGGAGATTATAGGTGAGATCACTTGCTCTAGGCTTTTAACAAACAATCCATACTGAGACAACATAGCTTTAGTAAACTCATCTCTCCAGCAATACATAGCAAGAGTAAATTATTCCTGTCAGGAGTTTGCATGTAAAGTCACTGTTCTGAAGGAGTTATTCCTGGAATATTTTCATGAATCTTTTTGGAAAAATTTGGTAGGTTTGTGGTTTCTGCTTCAACAATAGTAGCTGTAGGAATTTGAGTTTTCTATAGTGACTGGAAGATCTCTGCTTTCTAAAACAAAATAAAAATATTCTGACATCTGAAAAAATAAGATTAAAAAGACCAAGTATCCCTGAACTGGATTTCCTTTTGTTTAGAAAAACAGGCATTTAATTTTGGAAGGCTACTCTGGATACCAAGATGTCTTGCTCTTATCTTGCATCATCTCCATGATGAGCTGCTATGAGCTCATGATGTGATGGGAGAGTATGGAACAAACCTTAAGCTTTACTGCTCAGTTTTTGCAATGAAATTAATACATCTCAGTGGTCTATGAATAGCCTGTTCTAATAGAAGATTTTTCTTCCTGACTTGAAAAATGAATGTAATACTCTGAGTCAAAACAAATGTATGTTCATATAAGCTCTTCTACCCATTCTTTTATTTTTGTTCAGTAGGATACTGGTCATTTCAGAACTGTGAAAGGTTTTTGATAATCAGGTTAAAAATCTTTCTGTACTCCTTGATCACTGTGAAGTGCTTTAAGGATTACTGACTTGCCTGCTTGTTTTTCTCCCAGGCAGCTGTTAGCTCACAAAGCTGCTTGCAGCACATATTTTCTTGTCCCAGAGAAGAATCTTCCATCCACAGGAAGAAAAAAAAAAGCACAGCTCTGCAGTCATTAATATTGAACAGTCTGAATTAAAAACTATTCCTAAAATCCTAATGTAAATATCTGCTACCTAAGTGAAAAATTTATTAGAAGAGTCAGTCACCTGTAAAGCAAGTTTTTTTTAGAACAGTGGTTTTGTTTGAGGCTAATTATGTGTCCAATAACCAATCATTTCATTTTATTGCAGAGGAATGCAAAGCACCAGTTCAACTGCTGTTTCTGCTGGGTTTGCTTAAGATACTTTAACCAGGTATGCTCTGTCATCTCTGTCCCTCAGCCTAGTCTGGATACCATGGCCCTTAGCATGGCTAAAAATGGCTTAGCATGGCATGCAGACCAAAGTTTCCTGCTGGCCACCTAAATTAAACAAACAAAAAAGCCTCGCAGTTCTTGGTACAAAGAAACAGGGAATTGAAAAATATGCAAGGTTCTAGATTTTAGAAAACTTACTGATGCAGTTTGAGATAGCCCTTTCAGAGGGCCACTTGCTATTTCTGTTGATAAGAAGACTTAATTTGTTGAGTTGTGCCAGACTTCTGAAACACAGAGAGTCCAGGTAGGAGGAAGCAATGAAGAATTAGGAAACATACCTGGAGATTTGACATTAACTTGTTACAGTGTTTTCCACCTGAATGTCCTGAATAAAGAAACTTAAATTCCTAGTGATTGCCAGTATCAGTAGATCTGGAAATACAAATGAATGATAGCAGTCTTGTTTAAAAGATGTTTTAATTGGAAATGGATGATTTCTGACATACAGCAGTTTTACAGATACTTTGACACCTCTTTTTACCTTCACAATTCTTTTCCCCAAATGCATTCCAGATTTACATATATAATTGTGAATAGTTTGTTTTTTTGTTTGTCATTGCCTTGGTTTTATCTCTGGAAACTCTGATACTCCTAATGTGGAAGGGAATCATATGTTCAGCTAATTCCACCCTCTGAATGCTGAGTTCTTTGTTCTCATTGCTGAGGGCAGTGGTGTAGTAAACAAGACAATTCTGATAAAGGGTCTGGCTTCTTCTCTTAAGTAGGTGCATAAATTAGATTTAGTCTTGGACAGTTATTAAGAGAAAGTTTTCTGTTTAGTTCACCATAGATTAAATACTTGTGCAGTGAAATTTCTGAATTTTCCAGGCTTACATTTTCTAGGTAGGTCTTATAGTCAGTGACCTGGTGAGGAATATCAGAGTTCATTTTGCCTCCAGGCTTTCCATTTGTAGTCACCCTTTCCCCTTGGCTTGGCTTCCTGCCTTTCAAAGAGATATCCAGCATCCTAGTGTTTACTTTCTCCAGCTGTTTTCTGCTATGTGTTTGTTAAAAGAATTAATTACTATAATGTTCTTCCTTTTGTTTCAGAAGGCTCTTTTCCCCTTTAAAGATTTCCTGTTTCCTATTCTATTGTTGGCAGATTTCTGGTTTTATATGAGTTGTGGTTTTTAATCTAATGATTATAATAAAGTGTTCACTTTTGTTTTGTTTGTTGAATATATTTTTAGCAAAGGTGATGGTTGTCTACATGTTTCAGATCCAGGGCAATTTGGGCAATAATTAGAGAAGAAAAAAAGTAAGGCCACAAGATTTTAATAGAACTTCTCTCTGTGTGAAATTTAAACATTGGTCTTGAGTTATTGCATCTCATTAAGTAATTTGTAGATCTAATTATTTATTTCATTTTTTCCCCTATAACTAATCTGTTCAAAGCTATTTTTTTAACTAAGATTGAAAGTCTTACTCTTTGATTCTGTAAAATCCGTATGTAGAAGAGAACAGGAAAAAAAAGAAGGAAAAAAATGTCTGCAGTTTTAAGCAGCTTTGACATATTTCTTGAATAACAGAATTAGTGAGCTCTTAAGAGCTCCTACTGAGGTTGGTGGAGGCTGCTGGGAACTACATAGAAATCTCCCACAAATGCTGAACACAGACCTGAGAGTAGGACTTGGGAGGAAGGGGTTAAAAAGTTGTACCTGTGTTTCTAACATTTTCTTAAAGAAGAATTCTTTAAGTTCAGATTTTGGTTTTTTTGTAACCTAAAATGTGGAACAGCTGTTGTAAAAGTTGGTCCAAAAATCATTGTGTACATTAGCATTCCTTACTATTTACTATTCTTTTGCTTTTTATTCTAGCATTATTTTCACTTTAATGAAAAGCATATAATTACCTGAAGCTCTAAAAAAAAAAAAAAATAGTGCAGAAGTGATTGGATCTTCTATTTTCTTCAATCTGTTTTTAAACTGCTTAGGTAATTTAAATTCTTTCTGTTCCTTTATTCACAAGTTTAATCAGGATTAAGCAGTACTTTGTTTTCCCTATGAGAACTTGGCAGATGAGAAACAGGTGCTGGAGAAAGTAGCTCCAGTGAAAGAAAGCCAGCTTCTTTCTTCCCATGCAGGATCAACTACGTGCTCTATTGTGTTATCTAAGGGTACTTTTTGGGCTGCAGTGTCACCCTGCATGTGATATTTAATACTGACTTTAATAGTTGCATGCATCCCTGAAATGACTCATTCTCAGTGACGTTTTGTTCAGCTCCCTGGAAGTTAAGTGGAACAAACCAAAGAGTTACCTTGTCATCTTCCCATCATGACAGAGTGCTGTGCTAGATGCTGGCAATTGTCATGTTTGCAGCGGGGGCTGTTGCAGGAGGAGTAATGTAAGCCCACTGTCCTGTGCAGATTGCAATATGGACAATTACATTCAGCCTTCCTAAATTTCTCTTGGATTTGCAACTGGATCCTGTGCTAAACTGTGGTGTAGTGTTGCTATGTGCTGTAAAACAGTTCACTCCTTAAGCTGTTCCACTTCAGTCATGGGCAAAGTGATTCATGTGTGTGTATAATCCATTAGCAACAATTGTAAAGCACTCAAGGTTCTGTGGCTGAAAAGTGCTTTCTGAATATAAAGTCACTATCCTTACTTGACAGTTCTGTTTGCCAACACTTGTCAGAATTACCACAGATTTTTCATCTGGCTCTGATGGTTTCAGTATGTTCCAGATAAACATATCCAATCATCTCAAGTAAAATCTAGGAGATTGAAATTTTTCTTCTGTAAAAAGAATATACTGGCTTTTAATGTGATTTGGGAATTACGAGCTCTGTGTCTCTCCTGCTTTCTTAAATTGTAATCGCAGTCTTAACTTTAGATACATCGAAGTGCTCACACGTTCTCCCTTTACAGCCTTGTTGCAGTGACTTTTTTAAAACAATACAACTGGATAGTTTTGCTTTTCTGTGTCTGCTTTAGGTCTATCTGCAGCCAGTTGGCAAAGTGACTCCTCCAAAGTACAGTGCCTGGGTTTCTGAAGCGGCTGCTGAGCAGGGTGTGGTTTCTGTGTTCATCAGCACGGTTACTGCAGTGCAGCCTTCTGGGCTGTCAGTGAATTCAGCGGGGTGTGAGCCCCATTTCCTGGGACAAAGACACTTCCTGGGGACTGAAAGCCAGCAATTGTCCAGTGTAATAAACCAAAAGCAAGTCTGTCTAATGGCTGTATATTCATAGCAGTTGGTTGTCTCTTAAAATTTGGATGGAAGCCTATCAGGAGGTTTCAGTTAAATGCCTTGTGGAGAATTCACCTAGATAAAACCAAAATTCATGCATGCTATTGTAAAGCACAATTCTCTCCATGCCAAACACATTGTGCCTCACCCCATCAAGTACTTATTTTTCCTCCCAAAAACAATAATGCATTTTAATGTTGTTGGCAATATTGCTTCTAGATATAATTTTTCAATCCTCTTGAAAATACCAGGACTGGAATATCCTGTGACAAATGAAGGGTAAGAGCAATCCCGTTAGCCATCTATGAGACAGCAGGGAGGGGTAAAAGCCTGACAAGATCAGCAGAAAAATAGAGTAGAGTAGATCTAAACTGTTCATGAATAAATGTCTGGAAGTTGGAAGTTCCTAAGGACCAGCGGGACAACTGTCTGGAGCAGCTCCAAATGTAAGGCCCGGGAGAGGGGAAGTCCTAAGTGATTTAAAGAAGGGGTTTTCCACTTAAGAGAAGATTGGCATAATATGCTAATCTGAAATAGGCACTGGAGTGGCTGAAAGTCCCTTCCAGTCTTGTATGTCCTCACCTCTTCAGTGAGGCCTCACGAGGCTCATCTTGCTCTCATTTCCCACCATCTGAGAGTCATGATACAAGTCTCTCACCAGACCACTAACTGCTGCACAGCAGCCACACTCATTGCCTCTTGCTACCACTGGATTTTGTTTTCTGAGTGGCTTCACTGGCATCAGTGACACTTGCAGGTTAGGACACTTTAAGATCCAGCCTGAGCTGCACTGCACTGCACTGGGGGTAGCTGACCCCAAGAGAGGGCAGCTCCCAAGAGATTGGCAGTGATAAGATCAGATCGTTTTGAAAACACCAGCAGTGCAGAAAAAGCTGAACTGGGATGAGAAATCAGCATGTCTCCTTCTTCCTTTTTAAGAAGATTCTGTTGCTATGGCAATTTTCTCTTCCCCAAGCTCATTTTATGAAAGCAAGCCCTAGAATGGAGGACTGAATTCAGCTGTTACACAAAGTAGCAATTATTCTCAACAATTGGGGAACTTACAGCCTGGATCTGAGCCACAGCGCCTTTCTCATGAAACTACCAGGTCACTTTTTCCAAGACCTTTGACATTCTGTGTTGTGAGGCACAGAAGGATATATTCTTTAAATAGATTTTTTTTGCATACTGTGGTATTTAGAAATATGTAAACATTCCCTATTTATTCATCCTGACACTGGGACATCAGTGTCTAGTTCCCAGGCCCCAAGCCAGAAGAGGCTTGTGTTCTTCAGAGAGGTGGTGATATGAGATCAACTTGTTGGTGGAAGAATAAATGCTGATCCCAATCCACTGTCCCCTGTGCTTTCAATGCTACCAATGTCACCAGTACTTGCTTGTCACCAGAGCAGAGACTACCATTGGAAAAGACCGAACCATTGGGCCAAGATAAAAATATAAGTTATAATATGTATATAAGGATCAGACTGAATCTCTTTCTAGCTCAGTATCCCACCTTCAGCAGTAACTGTGAGCAAATGCTAAAGTAGAACAAAAGGATATTTCCCTGCCTCTGTGCTGTTCTTGATCTGCTCTCAACCTAGGGACTTCTTGAGCTCTGTGTTTAATAACTCTCAGCAGACTCCTTTTCCTGAAATTCCCCATCTCTGTTGAGCTCGTGTGAACTTCTAGCAGCTAAAGCATCCTTTGCCCAGCAGTCCACAGTTTGCAGATTTATGGTGAGAAGGAATACTGCCTGCTTTCAAATTTGGCTCCTACTTCTTCATACTGTCCTGCCCCTGCCTGGCTTTTGTTCTGGAAGAAACAGTGAGCCATGTAAGCCTACACAGCCTCTGCATTTCCCATGAGTCAGCAGCCCTCTTGCTGCATCCTCCTTCAGCTGTGTCTTTTCCAGACAGAAGAGCCTCACGTTCCCCAGACAGAAGACATTCCATGCCTTTTGGATCATTCCTGCTGCCCTTCTCCCAAACGTTTTCAAATGCACTAAAGCTTTTGTGCATGCAAAAATATATTCTGTAGAAACACATATTTAAATAACCTGTTTCTAAATGTTAGCAGGTTCTTAACTGGCCATGGTCTACCATCTTAGCCTTCACAACAATCTTTAATTTGAAAGTCTCTGGATTATTGCACATATCCTGCAATTTAAACTTAATGAGATATATAAGCTTTTTAGTTCAAAGTCCAAAATTATTTGCAAATATAGGTATTAACTTGTGTGTGCTAGGTGTTCCTTGATGAATAAGAATGAAAAATCTCTTGAGCTCATTTTTGTGCAATGCTGAGTTGCATGGAAATGTGGGTTAGCTTAAATGTTTGATGTGCTTTGTTAGTGAGAACATGTAGATTTCTATATGGCTGGATGGGATCAGGGCATGGGGTCTGTATGAGAAACTTGAAAATTGTGAGGCAAGTATATGGAAAAAGATTTTAGCTGAACAAGAAACCCTTCAAATATTTTTTCTCAGAAATGTGTTTTTTGCTAAAAGGTAGAGATCACTTGGCTAAGTCTTCCAACTGTGCTGGTAATATTCTTGCTTCACATAAGTCTGACTAGTTTTGTAGCCTTCAGCAGCTCATTAATTTCTGTCTCTCTCCAATTCATTCTAGAATGTTAGATTATGACCTGGCTGCCTTTATTTCTTGGGTATTAACATTAGGTAATACTTACATTATTTGTAACTGCTGTAAATGCCATTTTTTATCAGCTGGTGTGTAACACAACAAATGCCTGTTCAGGTAGTGTACTGTCTCCAGCATCATTATCAGTCTTTCCAAGGTAACCATTCTAGTTAATAAATATCAGAAATTCTTTTCATTGCACATTCTTTGAATACCAAAGTGGCTATTTCAAGAGTGCAAGCAAATGGGTATTTATTTTAAGTTTGGAAACAATGTTTGTATAAGCTCACGTGCTTTTTCAACATTCTTTTTTATTTTTAAAACACATTATTTGCAATTTATAATGAATACAGAATCTTTGTTTAATTTATTGGCAACATTTATACTGACCTCACCAGATCAGGATCTGCTCTGTGAATTTAGTTCTTAAGGGACAAAAACAAACTTAGAAAACACTTTTCTACTTTGTGTCTCAGTTCCCTGTGTGTTTAATGGGAATGATGAAAGGGACTGAACTCACAGCATGTTATAAAGAGAAATCTGTCTGTGTCTGAAATACACAGTGACAGCTATGGGTGGCAGACAGGCAGTGTGATGTGAGGCCACCTCTGCTGTGTCCTGGGCCAGCCGGGCTGGCACTGGCAGCTCTCCTGCTGCCACATCCTGGGATGTTCTGCTGTGGCGGCATCCTGCCAGGAAGGGAACACCCTCAGGATAAATGAAAGTTAGCACAGAAAGCATTTTTCCTATTTAGGAATGAAGTGAGCTTGCTTGTTTAAACATATTTTTATGCAGATACTCTTTGAGTTTCTGTAGAGTTCACTGGTGTCTCTGATGTTTTCATAGAATAGGCAATAAATCCATGGTCTTTATTTATACTTTTTCCATCTATGGATGTATTTTCTAATACGTTAAGTACAGTATTTACAGAATGTCAATGGTTTTTTCTTTACTATCTGAGGAAAAATAACTATGTTTTACATCAGTAATATCCACAATAAAGAGGTGAAAACTCTTTGATTGCATTTAATGTCAATGGTTTTTTCTTTACTATCTGAGGAAAAATAACTATGTTTTATATCAATAATATCCACAATAAAGAGCTGAAAACTCTTTGATTGCATTTTCCTTTCCTTTCCTTTCCTTTCCCCTTCTCTCTCTCATACAGTATCATAGCTTTGCTATGCTACAGAAATTGCTCAGAGGTAAAACTGAACTCTACAAGAATAAATTTTCTTTGCTTCAGATATCTGAAATTGTTTTATATTTTGAATTGTAAGTAAGAAAAACCAGATTTTTGAACATGAAGGGTTTTCAGTAGGCCAGTATAATTCACTTTCAGCAGATCCCTTATGGGCTGTTTATTTTTTCACTTCCAGGTGAAGCAGAAAGCAATGTAAGCACCATGAACATGTTTGGGTTTATAAATTCCTTTAGAACAGTAATCCCTTGCACACTGTGGCTCTCACTGACCATATCAGATGTGACTAAAGTTTTTGTGGTGTAATCTGCCTTCTAATAGTTTGAGTAAAGGCAAACTACTCATAAGAATTGCTGGTAAAGCCCAGAATATGTTTCATGTATAATGAGTGCTGCTTTTCTTAGTTGATGTTTTGGACATAGTTTCAAAACCTTGCTGAGGAGTTCCATAAATGGGACATACATGTTAATTTATGCAAAAATAATCAAATCCATGAAGGTAAATATTCTATCCTTCCCACCTGTCCAGGCAAGCTTCCACCAAGTGATATAATGTAAAATTCTCAATACATTGAAAAACTGGGAGTGGCCCAGTTATCTGCTGTTCTGAGTGGGGTGGGGCACATGATACAGAGACTGGTCTAGTCCAGAATCCTTCACAGAAAGGTTGGTTTAATAGCTATGACTATAAACTTGAATTTCACTTAAGTGTTTGAAAGAGCCATGTGTAAAAGCTTTTTAATCATCAACCTTTAATGACCTAGTAAATACATAACTTCATTTTTCCACTTACATAGTTGGCCAGCAGTGTTGGAGATAGATAGCCAGTAAGTTTGGACAGTGTGACTCCAGGTGTTCTCTGGTAATTGTGTCATATTTTAAAACAAACTGGATAAATGTGGCTTCAAGAATTTATTTAGTCACTATTGTAACATTTGCTATGGTGGAAATTATGTAGAAAAACTCCTTGAATTTAGAAGCATGACTATTATAGTAATTTAAAATACAAATGCCACATTATGCAAAATAACTCTTTATATTCATAAAGTCAGTAATTCCAAATAGAGTTTAAGGCTTTGTGTTTTGCTGAAGTAAAATCTAGATTATGAGTCTTTCCTCTCTCACTGCATTATTATCTTATGTCATTTCAGCATGCATACACAACTACAGCCATAAATGGGACAGATTTTTGTACATCAGCAAAGGATGCTGTCAGTATTTTGGCAAGGAATTCTGCTAAATTTGCATCCATTAGCTGCTTTGGAGATTTTCTCCTATTTTTAGGAAAGGTAAGAGTAAATAAAAATATTTGTTCTGTAAAAATGAAGTGAAAAATCAGCTTTGATTTTCTTTTCATACACCTAAAGTAAATAAAGTTTATCTTTGTTATATTCAGTGTTGTCAATGCTATAAAATAAGCTTGGGAGAGAAGAACATCTGAGGAATTTAACTTTGCAGAGTTATTTTGTTGTAAGATAGCAGTGTCCTTGGACCCACGCTGGCAGCTCCAGTTGCATCAAGTATTTGGTAAATACATGGCAAAATGTTTCCTCTGCCCTCTGGTATTTACACATGGAATTGAACACAAAGAGTCACAAGTATGTGATGCTGGAAATTGCTTAGCTAGCTCCCAGATGAGATGTGCTCTTAAAATACTGGCTGTAATGTGTTTGCCTCAGGGTTTGGGAGGATTGGCTTTTTATGAGAAACATTTCTGCGTGATTAATGAGGCTGCACTTCTCTCTCGCTGCCCTTTACAGGTGTTTGTTGTATGCTTCACTGTTTTTGGAGGATTGATGGCATTTAACTACCACCGGGACTTGCAAGCTTGGGTAGTTCCTCTGTTGCTGGTTGGATTTTTTGCCTACCTGATGTCCCACAGCTTTCTGTCTGTGTTTGAAGTGACAGCAGATGCCATGTTCCTTTGCTTTGCTATTGATATGGAAACAAATGATGGAACTGCAGAGAAGCCATACTTTGTGGATCAGGAGCTGCTGGTAAATCCCACTGATTACAGCAAAGATATTTGAGACATTCTAAGATTTTAAGCACTTTTTCTTTCCCCAAGACCTGGTAATCTGAACCCACAACCCATGCTATTTCCTTTCCAACATCTTAGAACAGGATGGACTCAGGGATAGAAGTACATTAATTTATAAATGGAACTAAATGGCTCCCTCTGACTCCTGTGTCTTAGCTGCAACCTGCTGCCTTCTTTTAGATCATATTCTGTAAATAATGGCTATTTAGGCCTAATTAGATATATCTTCAATATATTGTTGGTAATTAAAATATATAAATAAATAGATGAGCTAGCTGCAGAAATTGATCCATGGGGTGCCCTAAGATTAATGCTTATATTTCTTGTGATTCACTGTACACTGATGAGAAAAATTAACAAGTAGCAGGTCAGGGATCCATTCCACATCCTACAGATGCTGTAGTTCTGAACATATTTCATGCAAATCTGAGTTGCTCTGCTTCATACCTTTACAGATTCTTTTGCCACAACATTGTCTTCTATCTCTCAATTAAACTCTTCTGCCTCTGGACAGGTTGTTCTGCATCTTTACCCTTGTAATTACTGTATTGTATTACTTTCAGGACTTAGCTAATAGCGATGCTGTAACTGAAGCCTTTGAATATATATGTGTCATCCCTTTCTAATTAAGAGAATACCTGAAGATGCAGATACTTTTTTCTTTTTGTGCTATTTTTGACACTTCTGTCTCTTCCTTCACAAACTGCGCAACAAGAGAAAATCTTAGCAATCCATGAAAACAAATAACCAGCAGCCAGAGTAGCTCATATGACACAAATGTTCTGGATGGCTTTCTTCAGGACAATGTCAGAACTGTTTTGGAGTTTTGGTTACTATTTATTTTTTTTAATGCTGCTGTTAGAGTTTCCGTAATATTAATAGAATTTTGTTGAGAACAGCAATAGCACAACAAAAAGGCAGCCTAAAGATGGCTTAACCCTTTGTACAGCAGAAAGCAGATATATATTCTTTGGCTTTGGTTCAGAATAGTACTTAAGCACATCGCCTGGCTAGGAATATAAAAACGAATGGAAAACTCTGAAGCCTTGACCTCTGTTCTTCCCTCTCTGTTTTGCCAAATTCTAAAATGCTTCTTAAGCCAATTTTCCTTCATGAAACAGAGGCTCTCCTTTCTCCACTTCCAAACTTTGTCGTAGTTTCTCTTTAACTCTGCTCTTAATTCTGTGTAATTAGCCATGCCCTAGAGCTGTGGGTGAAGAGAGGATTTCCCACAGGGACAAGGAGTCTTCCAAGCAGGACAGGCTCTATACCCTTCTATGGAAAAACTGTGGGCAGCACATCCAAACTCCTCCTCATTGTATGATCAAGAGTAAGTTTGCTAACACAGACAAGAATTTGGAGTTTCCCAACACATGAAGGCATTTAACTTGTCTGTGTTACAATCAGGTTGCAAACATCCCGGGGGTGGAAGGGAGGCTCTGTGGCCCTCAGGACAATATGCAGCAGTGGGTGGAGAGCAGGGGGAGGGATTTCATACAGCTGGAAACCTCATTCCTGCAGTAGGAGATGTAACAGAGTTTTTTGATTCATCTTTCTCAGTTGCATTCATCACTTTTACTGCCTCTGCAGTCCCTCACAGTGTCACTCAGTGTCATCCAGCCAGGAACCAGCTACAGTTTCTTAGCCCTGGGCTAATTATCTTCCTTCACCAGGTATTTTTATTAGCATAATGGTTTCCTTTCACAAACGATCTCACCCTGGTTTTTGCTTGTAGACCTTTGTGAGTCAGAGTAACAAGTTAACAGAAGGGCGAAAACACAGAAACACAAGACCATTCCAGGATAATGAAGATGGGACAGAGCTCCAGCCTATGGTGAGACAGGAGCGTGGGATATGTATTTACCTGCCAGCTAATGTGTTTGCCTTTATGTTCCAAGAAGAATGGATGGAGGTTGTCACATATCTCCTGACATCTCACAGCAACCAGCATGCTGTATCCAGTATCCTGTTTTCTTCTTTTGCTTTCCCTCCTCAGGAAACCCTCTGCTAGTGCAAAATGGATGGATCAAATAATTATTCTCTTTGTTCTTCACATTCCCCATTGTGCCCAGCAGAAGAAGAGAAAGTTTGGACAGTGCCAGAGGGGTGGGAGATAAATCATGTTCAAATAGTCTTTCACCTGCCTGCTGTATCAAAGTCAGAAGAGTGGTAGGCTGCTCAATTTCATGCTGAAGTTCCAGACCTCTAAGACCAGAGCTTAGTGTCATTTCCTTTCCCCCTCACACCCTTCCTCCCCTCCCCTCCCCTCCTTTTTTTATCAGTATATAATATTTATTTATTCTGTTTTATGATGGGGTAACAAAGCTGACATGCCAGAAGGGAGTGTTTCCCCACACCCAGGCTTGGGAAAGTCCTCAGAGTCAACACTCACTCACTGACATCTGAAAAAATACTGGAAATTGCCCAACCTGAGAAACTGCCCCCAGCAAGTTCAGAATCAGGACTGATTTTCCCAAGAATAGTGGGGGCCAAGCTAGGGCTGCTAGAGGAAGATTCTGCAGGAACAGCTCCTCTGGCACCCACACTTGCTGGGTACTACTACAAGTCCTCTGCTGTGTCACAGCTATGTACAAAAGTGTAACAGATGTTGGTGATTTTCCTTGATCTTCTTTCAAAAGGTACCAGGCTCTAGTGACCTCTCACACAATTCTGTGGACATTCTGCTACAGGCAGAGCACTCCTCCAGTTTATTACTACAGTGAGGGATAGTACTAAATATTTTCATTGTTTGGATCTGTTATTGCATTCTTCCGTAATTTTTTGCCAAGCACAGAAACCGGAGGCTGGGTGGGTGTTATTCCCTGCAAGAAGATTGTGGATTTGAGATACAAAAGAACCTTAATCGTTTTCCCAGTTTACTCTTATGACATTTAAATGCAGAAACAGTACTACACATTATTTGACTCCTTTTTTCTCTCTTTGTAGACTTGAATGTGAAGTACACCAGGAGGTGTGGAAGCAGAGAGCAACAGCAAAAATGGTCATATCAGTAAAGGTTACCAATAGCCCAGGACAAAGTATTGGCTCCCTAAATCTGTTCTATCTTCTGCACTGGTAAAATGACACACAATATGTTTGTATGAATAAAATATTTTGTGTGTCATTGCATCTGATTTTTTATTACTACATTTGCTATGATGGTCTGAAAGTTGACAATAAACTCACTCTTTATAAATTTCTATGTTGCCAGACTAAATTAATAAGTCAAAAAATGTCAGGGAGCTAACATGATTTTTTCAGGTTTCTCTGGGAATGCTGTGCCAGTCATCCCTAGAACAGTAAATGCAGAAACATTTGTAGAGGAGGTGCTCTGAGATAACTCTGTCCTGATTAATTCTGCATATCTGAACAGCCAATTAAGGAACAGACTAAACTCATTGATGGAAATTACCCTTGATAGAAATTCTCTGTAGTCAAGATAATTAGCGGTTATGAGGTAGGTGTCTTTCTTTTAATTATACTCTTTTGGGAATGGTTTTTACAAGTTTGTAACATAAACTGTCCAGCTCCTCTCCAAAGGGCAGATGAGGAATAGTCCTTCCTTCCTTCCTTCCTTCCTTCCTTCCTTCTGCAATTAAAGATGAAGCAGAAAAATTTGCATCTGTATTTAGAGCTTGACAAAGTAGCAGATGACGGACATAAAATAACAGGACAGACATCAGATAAAAATGTTCTAAATAATACTTTATAGAAATGTTAGCTGTAACATGGGTTTGAAATACATCATGGAGGAAATGGAGTGACTGTCAGGGCTCTAGTCAGAAGAGGAACACAAGTATAGACACTTCAAAAAAAATTAACTTGGTAACAGTCTGCCAGCACTTTCTTGTGAGCAATTTTAAAGCTTGTTTAAACTTTCTACCTGGATCCTGATTGTAATACACTTTGTAGGCTCCACCTTGTTCTGAGTATGGAGTAGTTTCAGATTTTACTTGGTAGCACATTTTATTCTCTTTGTTCAAATTTTATTTGAGGAGAGGATTGTGGTGGGAAAATGATGCCAGCCAGGGATTTCAGTAAAGTATCAATATAGGAAGTGAGACATCACTGCAGGTAAGTGACTCAGAACTGTCTTAATGAATAGATTGATAAAGCCTTGATTAGTCACAGCTTGGAAATGATGTACAGAAAAGCTCATTGATGCCTGAATAAGAAATCTGTTTCATTTAAATACTCTATCTGGTCTCCTGCTGTTGAAAGGAGACCAGTTAACTAGAAATACTAAGAAATATTTCACTTTTATCCATAACTTCAGTCTACTTTAATATAAGCCAATTCAAGAAGTTCTGGAATATAGGATAAATTATGAAAAAGGGAAATAGATTAATTACTTTCTGCCTGGCAAGATGATAATGAGGATGATAATGTACTGGCTGTGACTCACCACCTCTCTTTATTTAAATCTGCACCCTTGGATACTTTTTGTACTCAGCTTGTGGATGCTGTGGGAACTTCTGAAAAGTCCTGAATAAGCAATAGCTCTCTAACCCTGAAGAAGTGTGTAGCTATGGTACTTATAAAGGGGCTAAACATTTCCTCTGCCATGGGTTTGCCAAGATTTCTTCCAAGAAGCAGTGTCTTCACAATGTAAACATGATATTTACCAATTTACAAAGCAGAAGAGGTTTGCTTTGAAGTTAAAAAAAACCCCAGTTCTTATTACACATTCAGGGGTTTTTTCCTGTTTGTATTTGGTACTCACGCCGCAAGTTTTGGCCTTTGACTCAAGAACTCTGGTGGGAAAAAGGGAGGGAAATTTTAATCTAAGTATGTCCTTGTTTTCAGAAAATCGCTAGATGACCTTCAGAGGTCCCTTCCAATCTCAACAACTCTGTGGTTCTGTTCATTGTAATTATGATGCAGCATCATTGCCTTCACTGCAGCTCCAGAGTGGAGAAAAGATTCATACACTTCCAACAAATTCTGGGATAACTTTTAAAAAAGGAAGGTACTGAAAAATTCCAGTTAAGCTGTATTTGAGTGTATGCTGTTTAAGGAATAATGTATTGTCATTAGTCCAGAAATTACATTATAAAATAAGTTTTGAGAACTGTGTAATTTTAGAGAAGGCTTCCAAATAGGTAGCTTTTAATTACATTTGTACAGAAAGCATAGCTTTGTAGCTTTCATTTACAACTCAAGACCTCCCAATCTTACATACACTGCACTGGCAATTGTGTCAACAAGCTCCAGCTGTAGCATTCCTGTGTGGCAGGAGCCTCCACCTGAGTTAGAGGGATAAGGCACTCCTACAGAAGCTGATGCTATTTACTGCTTGCTTCTCAGGGCTGCCTTGCCCTGCAGGTACTGCAGTCAGGCAGCTGCAAAGGAGGCACAGCTCCTGGGAATACAGTTCCTGCTGGTTCTGAGGCTGGGCTAAGCCACTTCCAATAATTTGATGTCTGCCCTGCAATGCAGCCCAGTAAGTGTGGACTCATCTTTCCTGCAGCTATGGAAGATTAGATTCAGCAGAATGAAAGGTACTTTTATAACTATGTTTCTTAAAAATAAGAGACAGGGACTACTGGTGTCTGCTAACCAGAAAATGGCTAACTATTGCAGCCTGTTGTTTTAAGCAAAGCAGCTTGATTTTGGTCTTGCTTGGCGTCTACTTCAAACTCTGAATTCAGTTGTGATTCCACTGGGTCTCTCTGTGGATGAAACATGCATACCAATAACAGCTTATGTGTAAAGTTTCTTCTGTTTAAGTACATAATAAGGGGCAAGTAGTTTAAAGCCTAAGTTTTGCATTCATAAGGAAGGAGGTCATGGTCAGATTTTCAGAAAGAGATTGCTTTCACCCAAACTATAAAAATAAAAAAGCTTTTGCTGATTTTGCTGTTGATTGTAGAACTACTTTTCAGCATTCAATACAATAGTTCTAAATAATTAAATACTACTATTTTGAAGGGGGGAAAAAGTATCATTCAGGAAAAGCAGGTCTTAACAGATCTGCTGTTAATAATTTTCTTGCATCAGATGCAGGGCTTGGACTAGTGACCTCTAGAGAGCCTTTCTAATTTAAATTCTGTAAAATAAATAAGCTTAAGACTTACACAACAAATAGGTCAGCTGAAAGTCAGATCACATCACATTCAAAGATGATAGAAACTAACGGAGCACGCACAAACAATTTCCAGTCTTGAGGAAAAAATCCTTCATCAGTCCAGAACTCACAAATGTAAAACATTTAATATGTGAATGTAGTATGTTTAAACTGCAGTGAACACTTTTAAGATAACCTTGACTTATTTTACAGAAGTTAGAAACTACAACATTGGCCCCCATTGACACATGCTCTTTTTCCTCCTTTTAAAAAGTGCCAGTAAATTAGTGTAGCTTCTCTGCACTCCATGATGAGGAAGAAAGCACCCTCCATTTAGGAATAAGCTCTGCTATCAGAAACTGAGCACCTGCTGCAGGTACTCAGCAGGTACAGACTGTGTGTGTCTTTACATAATCTAAACCAAGAGTGTTTTGCATTCTCCAAGTGATGGCATAAAGGCAACAGGCTGAAGCAGAGGCAACAATAAATATGTGTGATCCTTGTTTGCCTTGAGAAAATGGCAGGGGATTTAGTGAACAGCTAAAGATCTCTGGTCATAACCTCAGAGTCATGAAGAGGGGAAGTGAACCCAGCTGTGAAGGACCTACATTCCTCTCCTATTAAGTCAGTGACACTCATTCCTGAGAGATTTTTACAAGATAGTTAGATTAAATCCTGTGGAAAAAAATGAACTCAAGTTGCAACAGAATGGAATTCTACATTACCCTTAAAATAGGCAAAGGTGATGCTTATCTGGGAATAATTCTTATGACACCTAATCTTTAAGACCGGTAGCATAACAAATGAGACAAGATCATCTACGTACCTTTAAGAAAAAAATATTTATTTATAAAAATACAATGGGATCAGTTTCAGAAGTGTGGCAATAAATACAGTTCAAGGAAGAAAAAAGCATTTCTACATGGATATATTATGGCACAATAAAAGGCAAATGCACCATCAATCATGGAACTTCTGTTGGCTCAAGACTTTGTACAAGCTCCCTTTTTAGTAAGACAACTATTTCTATGTTTGGTCAGTGTTGATAATGGAATGAATACACAATCACAAATGCACACTTATGTCTAATGCAGGACTTAACATTAGCAAACAATACCTTAAAAACATAGCAATGATATTAAATCACTAATGAGATATCTTAAATTTAATTGGCAAAGACCACATGTAACTTTAAGCATGAGATTCTTTTATCTCCTCTGGAGAAAAGCTGTAAATATGTAAAATGAAGGCTTAACTTGGTATGTAAAAACCTACTTAAGTAGAGATTGTGAGAATGCATAGCTCCTTACGAAACAACCTGGCTGTATGAGAGCACTCCCCCTTTCACAGTATTCCTTTTACTTCATATGCAGTTATTGTTTATGCTGTAGACTACAGCTGTTACAGCACTAAAGGCAACTAGACAGGGAAAGGGCAGAGAAAGGAGAAAGGAATGTATGTAAGGCAGTATTTCTTTAGGTACATTAAGCGTAGTGTGTAGGAAAGACAGGTAACAATTCCACAAGGCTAGTTTCGTTCTTACTGAATAAAATAATCGACTAATACTGAACTTTTGATGCAAAGCTAGTAATCAATGCCCTGGTCACTGTACTGCCCATGGTAATCTCTTTGATAGTCATCTTGGTACTCTCCGTGGTAGTCATCTGGGTACTCTGCCTGATAATCGCTATCGCTGATTTCTGACCCGTTAGTTCCTGTTCCTTGGCTGCCGTTATGAATGACAGGTTCTGTGGGTGCAGCACAGTACTTGGGGTCATACACTTGCCGTCCAAGCCCATACACACTCATTCCCTTCTGAGAAGCTACTTTGTTGGTACCCATTTGTAACGAAATTGTTGAGTTATCCACAGGCTGTAATATGTGCTTCTGATCGTAGATGTCTCTCCTGGTACCTGGTGCCAGCATACCAGCCTAATAAAACAGGATTGTAGAGGTTCAGTAAGAAGGTCAAGAGCTGTGATTACTAGATTTATGATTTCAATTAGTATGCCTTAGTGAAAGTGCTGAAAAGTAGGAATTAAAATATAAAAAAACACAGCACAGTAATATCTGCTCACTAGCAGGTGAGTCACAGAAGAAAGCCCTTGCAGAAAGGTCCAGTTTATCAGTTTATGTTCCTCTTTGGAAAGAACACACTAAGCATTCTAAGGTAGTGCCAGTAAGCAATTCCTCTTTTGCCTCTGTCTAGTTAATACTTATAATGAAGTTACTGTTTTCTCCTGGTATAACACTGCCAGCAGGTAATTCTAGAAGCACCAGAACATTTTTATGCCTTAAGACACTTGGTATAGAACACACTGGTTAAGACAAGAGACTCAAGTTCCTCAGTTACTGTGTGAGAGCACAGCTGAACTGTACCCACTCACTGCTGCCTGTCAGACTCTGCTGCTGGGCACCACTCCAGGCAGTCCTGTCCCCCTGGGCTGAGAGCTGTGTCCATCCTGCACATCACACACAGTCCTGCTTACCTGACTGGCTCCTTTGTTAGTGCCCATCTGTAGGCTAATCGTCGTCTGGTCAAATGGCTTATCAGTTTGCATTTTTGGATCATAGAGGTGTCTTCTAGTTCCATAAGCAGTCATGCCTGCCTGACTGGCACACTTGTTGGTGCCCATCTTTATTGGAGGAAGGAAGAAGTGGACAGAAGAAATTATTTTTATTTGTACATTAAGCACAGTCTAAGGAAAAAATAGGGCTGTTAACTGTGATGGCTGACCAAAAAAAAGTAATTTCAGTGCTTGTTTTCCTCATGTAGTTTGACCACTACCTGTAATATATTACCCTTTCTCCTTTCAAAAGTTTCGAAGGGAAAAATAAAGGCAACTGTCATCTTAAACTGCATTGCAATTGGAATGGATGTATGCCTGAAAATGTAAAAAGTATCTTTTACCATGGACAGTAATGATTCATTTCTACTGCCACAATTTCTCTACCACAGGAATTTTAAGATTTTACTTTAGCTTTTATGATTACTAAGGAAAGAGGAGAGAAAAAACAAGTTTCTACCATACAAAGAACTTTAACTATCCAAAGACTCCTACTTTAAAACTACCTTAAAAGACAGAGATGATGCTGCTAATATTAGCTGTTCCTTTCCTCCTTATCACTCTTACAGCAGATTTAAAACAAACAAACCAACCTTCCAGGCAGTGACTTGAGCTTATAAAGGCAATCAACGGCTTACAAGAATTAAAACCTCACTCCTCCTTCCACGATAAGAATATATTTTTATTCTGTATCTGGTTTTGCATGAACAATGTCTCACTTAATCAAAGCAAGAAAGCTGTTCTCAAATGTAACAAATTACTGCAAACTTGAATTTCATACTTACCTGCAGGCCAATTACACTTTGACCAGCTTTTAGTTTTCCTGCATCAAAACTTCGTGCTTGTTTCTCTGCATATTTGACACCAATATCAATTGTAGTATGAAAACCTTTAGTTTTTGCCTATTTTGGGAGAGGGAAAATAGAACGTTCAGTGTTTGAAGTGTGTTTTCTGTCTCCACTCTCTAAGCCTGGGCTGCCCACAAGAAGGTCTGTCTCCATGAGACTGTGTGTCAGGGCTGCCAGAAGGTACCAGGTCCCCACGCCATTTGAAGGTGGCACTCCAAAGCTACCCGAGCCAAAAGGATGTTCTGCAGGGATCAGTGTTCTCCTGTGAGCCTGCCCTGTTCTGTGTGTGCACATGGAAGCAGTCAGGAACCCCCACTCTGAACTCTAAGCCTTCCCTGGGGCATGTGGGATCACACAGCTCTTTGAAGTGCAACGTCTGCACTTCAGACTCTCAGTACTGTCTGTCCTCTCCTGACAGGCTGGATGCTGTTTTCTGTATTTACACGGGTTGTAAAGATGCATCTGAACTAGCATGTGGATTTGGGCCAGCTCCAGAGGTAAATACTTACCAGACCTGCCAGTGCCACTAGAGTAGTCTGTACTTGAGTCATATTTCCATTTTCAAAAAGATCATTTGCTTCAAAAATGTCATGTGGCTTCATACCGTAGACTTGGATGGCTTTGATAAAATTCCCAATGTTCTCCAGCTAAACAGAAACAAAAAAAAGTTTTCTACAGTGTTTCAGATCAGAAATTAAGAAATTTTAAAGCCTTCTGGTGTTGGTTTGTTTGTTTGTTTTACTTAAGTTCCTTGCCTTGTGCAAACAGGACAAAATAGTTGGCATGGTTAAGAGTGACTGGTGGGAAGTTTTTGTTGGTTTTAATACTGATTTCAGAAATCAGACTATGAGAATATCTAGCCTAGCATCCCTCCATCAGTGAGTACCATATAGTTGGTTAGAGTGGGCTTTGATAAGACTTGTCTCAACTGTCTGTCCCTTCCAAGAGAAATCCTCATCTAAAACCTGCTTCAAAATTAGAAAATCTGACATAGTATCCATGCTATTTGACTTTAGCAA